CCCCAAAACCCCAAAACCCCAAAACCCCATAAGCCTCAATAAAAAGCATTAAAGTAAAAAATTTCAATAAAATAAAAGTTCATTAAGTTTTCAATATTAATTTAATAAGTTTTGTGGTTGATTTTCACTTAAATTTTCAGTAGATATCTTTATTTCTTCAGTCATATATCATATCATCTTCGCTTGCGTTAATTGAAAAATCAAATTTAGCATGTCTACTGTAATTATTTCTACCAACTTTATCTTATTTTTGCTATTATTTTAACAGATATTATAGATCCCTCTTTCTTATGATTTAATTCTCAAACTTTTTCTATGTTTCTTATTGATTTTCTTCTAATTTTTAATCAGTCTCAGTTTAGGTCTCTTCTATAGACTAGTAAGTTAATAAATTTAAGAAGTTATGGATTTTTCTTTCAATTCTCAGGTTCAAATATGACGAATGATTCTCTTGCTTATTCATCAGTATAGGTTAAAGATTCTTTGAAAATAACTGTTGAAGTTTATTTATTTGTAAAGGACATTTAAATAAAATTCTCATTCTGTGATTCTATGCTTTCACTGCTTTCATCATCTAAGTTCTCTTATTCTATTTCATCATCTTCATTTTAAATGCAAGCTTCTACCATTATTGGTTATAAATTTAGTTGCTTTTAAGCTTAAATGATATCTTATCCTTGGGAGATATCTCTGATATCTTATCAATCTCTGTTAAAATTGGAATATTTTGAATTCCACTATAGTTTTCTAATATGCTTTGAATTTCTGCTCCATTGGACTGGGCTATTTAAATTTATTGGATAATCTAATTTGGAATTAATGATACCTCTTAATCGTAGTTTATGTCAGTTTTCATCTATATTAAAATCTGATTCCGTCATATATACATCTTAAATTTACTATTTATTTGTCTGCTTTTACATCCCTAAAAAAAACTTGTACTCTATATATATATTCTTCCACTTCAATTCAACCTTCTTAGCCATTTGATCATTTGAATTATTATCTTCAATTAGAGGAGAGTTAAGTTTAAAATAGAATTATATAAAGTCCTATTTTAATGTTAATATAAATTTTTACTTACTTTCAAATAAGTGTTTCATTAGTGTTTAAAGTTCTAATTTTGATATACTGACTATTATATTTTAATTTCACTCTCCTTTACCTTATTTTCTCTTCTAATTTTATGTCTTTTTAATCTAGATTCACGATAATAATTTCTTCTTTAACCTGCACTCTATTGACCTAATTAGATTAAGAATTTGAAGAGTTTTAGTTTTCAGGGTTGAATAATGTCTTGATAAAGCCAAAATAAGTTAACCAATTTATATCATCCTTCTCTAGATCTCTAGTGGATTTGATATATAGAAGCTAATTGATTCTCTTCTAACTAGATGATCCTCCTCGTCCTTAAGATTTCTAAGTGCTACTGCTATTCATCTACTACTACTTATATGAATCATATGACTTTGATTCATTGATAATTTAATTTCTTTACGTTATCTTAAATAACTAGCACCTACCCTTGTTTTATGCCAGTTTATTGCATTATCAACTCTCTAAGTTTCTGAAGATTTTAAAAACTATTGTATATGTTGATAAAAGTTTTGATTGTAATTTGTTTATATAATAGTCTGATTGTAAGTTTTTAAATTCAAGCCTTGTAATATATCTTCTAATTAATCAATCCCAGAATTTACTTTGAAATTTTCTGTAAAATAAATGACATCCAAATTATTTGATAATTAAAAATCTGCTTTAAAAGAACAAAAATATGCCCTCTTTTCGCTATTAAAATATTTGCACCTTAACCACATGTTTTAGCAGAGGGAGTCCAAAATAAAGTAAATTATAGTTGGATCCTATTAAAGTTCAATATCTTAATAACTCACTAAAAATCCATCATCATTTTTTTAGAGACCCTCTTAAACTCTAAGATATTTTGAGCCTTAGTGAATAAAAAACTAGATAACTGGAAACTATAAAAATTTGCTAATTGCTAATAACTTAAATCAATCACTGAGTGAATGAGAATAGAAAAGCAAAGTAGGTTGGTTCTTAAGACTAGTAAGAATTGTTTACTCATGACCTAACAATATTTGTCCTATTAAATTAGACATGCTAGATTCTTGATCGACTTCATTATATCACCAGCTTCTTTAATCAGATTTGGAATTAAAGTTTAATATTTGAACTTTCTTACTCAAATATATACGATTAAAAATGATAAGAATTCTATTAAATGAGATAGTCTGAAATATTGATTAAAAATAAAGGTCAAATTGATTTATCACTTTATCATCTTACTTAGCATTTAATTAAAAGATTTATGGAAAAAAATAATAGACTTGCTATTATTGGTGCTGGCCCTGTGGGTTCTGTATTATCAATTTTATTCGCACAAAAAGGATATAATATTGAGCTATTCGAAAAGAGACCTAATCCTCTAGAAACTATACAATCTAGCGAATGGAGATCTACAAATTTTATATTAGGTTTAAGATCACATGAGGCTTTATAGAGATGTGGCGTCTTTGAAGAAATTTAAAAGTTCTGTGTTAGACTTGATTAAATGAAATTCATTTTGCAAAATCAAGATGAGTTTGATATATACTTTGGAGGAAAAACAGAAAAAGAAAGAAGCTATTCAATAAATAGAGCTGAAATTTAAAAAGTACTAGCCAGGAGAATTAAAGATTTCTCCGAAAAAATTGAAGTCAATTACAGCACAAAAGTATTTAATGTCGATGTATAAAGCTAGACATTTTAAGCAATTTATTAAGATGGTAAAGTGTAATAAAAGGGGGATTATGAATAGATCTTTGCTGCAGACGGAACATTTTCAGTCGTGAAGCAAGCATTTATTTAATAGCCGGGTTTCAGCTATTCAATATAATATAGCGGATACGGCTACACTGAATTACAAATTCCAGCCATGATTGATGAAAATGGTGGGCGCAAATTTAGAGTATAAGAGAATACATTTTTCAACTGGGCTAGAAATGGTCTAGATATGAGTATGATGGGTATGCCTAACTATGAAGGAGATATAAATATTGGTTTATATCTAAAAGTCAAAGGTGAGAATTCATTTGAATACTTTAAGCAAGACTTTAAATTATTCGAGGAATTCATGCATAAAAATTATCCAGACACAAAATACTTAATGCCTAATATGAAGGAATTCTATGATAACTCATAGATTACTAGATTGCTTAATATGAAATGTTCTCCTTGGAATTTCGGTAATTTATTGTTAATTGGAGATTCTGCACATTCAATGAATCCTTTCAGTGGCCAAGGCTTTAATGGTAGTATGGAAGAATGTGTGCTTATTGCTGATTTATTTGAGAAATTCAGAGGAGATTGGAGTAAAATTAATCCCGCCTTTTTTTAATTAAGAAAAGATGTGACCGACAAAATGAATGATTTTCCTGATGCATAATTTTCAATTATTAAGGATAAATTCAATGATCCAGATTGTCAAATAGGAATTATGATAACTGATTACCTATGCAGATTGTATGGAGATGTATTTGATTCTTAAAATTAGTTGATAAGGTGGACTACAACTGACTATAATATTTGCCTCGGAAGAGGCTAGGTGCAAGCTCATCTTATAAATGAACTACGATAAAAAGTTCCTGAAATCTTAATCTTGATTAAAGCTAACTAATTTGATTAACGAGTTTATGATATTGTGTCTTAATACAAGGGAGTGCACAATTTAGAGGAATTTTTGAGTGAAAAAAATAATCAAGATCAGAAAAAGAGTTAAGATGATTTTGAAAATCTATTTGAGAAGTATATGCATGGTTACTAGAAAAACTAACCTAAACTTTGAGAATAAATAAAAATTATTTTACCAATATTTATTTTAAATCTTAGGAGTTGGGGTTTTGGGGTTTTGGGGTTTTGGGG